TTTTGGGGTGTTTGGCCATTTTTTTGCCGTGGTTTATTTACGATACATGAAAAATTGAAAATTACATGAAATGATTGAAATTATCTTCAATTTAATTTTATACCTAATACAGTGTATAAAAAGTTCCAATCTTTTCTGTTACACACTTTGTATGATTTAGAATACTTTTTCTCAAAATGGACAAAGTCTTCAATTGACTTTATTTAGGTTTATTATGGATTTTTATATAAGCCAGATAACATTTGCTTACTATGGAGATACGCATTTTTTTATTTTTTTTCCATAAAAAAATTGTGGGTAAGTCCATGATAGAACTTTTCAAAATTATCTTTTGGTTTTGTTTTATAATGTTTGATTGAAACTCAAATCAATCTTCAGTTATTTACAAGTGCAAAGAGAAAAAAATTTAAAGAATCAAAAGCTTCTCAGTTTAAAAGAATTATTTATAAAACCCTTAGGCCCGTTTGATACATGAAATTTAAATTATGAAATTAGAATTAGAATTGATGAATTTAATTCTATGGAATTGATTTTCGTGGAATTTTAATTCCAAATCAATTCTAATTCTATCAATTTCGTGCATAGTTTTAAAAACCGGACCAGACCAGCCGGTTCGGACCGGGAACCGGCAACGAAACCGGTCCGGTCCGGGGCAAAGGACGCCCCGGACCGGCATCAGCTACGAACCGACGTGAACCGGTAAAAACCGGCAAGAACCGTCCGGTTCTACCGTAAACCAGTTTTTTTTTTTTTTTTTTTTTTTTTGCGAAAATCTTCCAAAAACACTACCCTGTTGGGAATCGAAAATCTTCCAAAAACACCTCTTAAGCTATGGAGAGACCTGCCGGCCGTCTGAGCTAGAGGTTTCTTGTGTCATACATTGCATAGAGCCATAGAGTGGTTCTATATAATATACTCCCTCCGTCCCAGAGTATTTGTCCACTTTCATTTTTGCACACCATCCAATGCACTTCTTTAATCCATTTTATCTTGTAATTTGTATATTAAAAATTATAGAAATTATATACTCCCTCCGTCCCTGAGTATTTGTCCACTTTCATTTTTGCACACCATCCAATGCACTTCTTTAATCCATTTTATCTTGTAAATTTTAAATTAAGAAATTATAAAAATTATATATTAATAATCTATATGTTAAGACGAATCAAACAAGATCACACATGACTATTTTTAGGCTTACATATTGAGAGAATTTGATGAGTCAAAGTGCTTAGATGAATAGTTACAAAAGTCAAAAGTGGACAAAGACTGGGGGACGGACCAAGTATTAATAATCTATATGTTAAAACAAATCAAACAAGATCACACATGACTATATTTAAGCTTACACATTGAGAGAATTTGATGAGTCAAAGTGCTTCGATGAACAGTTCCAAAAGTCAAAAGTGGACAAATATAGCGGGACGGAGGTAGTAATTCTTAATTAAATTTTTTTTAAATGATTTCTTTTTATAAAGCATTAAAAAATATAATATTGTAACAATAATTTAAACTTTTAACTACTCCGTATTCTAAAAATACATAGTACATATCAATGAAAAAATCAATTTAAATAAGTTTTGAAAATATTTGACAAATTATTGAAAAATAAAATCTCTTTCTATTTTATATAATTTTTAAATATTTCATAGTATATAATTTTATCAATTTTATCAAATTTTCAAAAATATTTGAACCACTGGTTCAACCATTCGAACCACTGGTTCGAGCAGTGAACCAGTACCTCGACCGGTTCGATCGCCGGTCCGGTTCTGAAAACTATGATTTCGTGTACCAAATAGACCTTTAAATTTTTCCAAGAATGTTTCTATGGTGCACTTAGTTGCATATCATTTTTGTGCAAGCTTAAAATTTTTTAAATTTTAATTTTTAATTAAAATAAATGTTCATCAACGTAGTTAAATTTGCTTATTTGTCTTATATGTAGATCCACGGTGAATTTTAGGTTCACCATTAAATTTGCCATTTGCACATGCTCCACTAACCTATTTTCAAACTAAAAATGACATTTATGGCATTCATTCTCTACCTAATAAAGTTTCACTCTTTTATTTTTCACTTTTAATTTCCCTCGTTATACAAATAAATAAAATGACAAATGTACTCTCCATCTCAAACTAAAAAAACTTCATTTATATATTTGTAAAACCAAAGTTTTTCTGTTATTCTTAAAAAAATATATGATTTTTTTAATTTGAGATGCAGAGTGTATATATTATTTTAATTATTTGTATGAACAAGGAAAAATAAAAATAAAAAAGTGAAACATTTCTTTGGACCCGAATATTTCGGACGTCAATTTAATTTCCATATTTACCCTTCTAGAAAACAATCATTTCCTTTGGAAAAAATGGCACTGGCGTACCGATGCCGTTGTTATGCAGAAAATTACTTACGGGTGACGTGAGTTTTGTCAAAATAACTCTCAGGTCCCTCTATTTTCAAGAAGACAACTGAGTTCCTTATATTTTGTTGGAGGGGACATTTCATCCAATATTTCATCCATAAGTGTTAATAAATGTTTTTTTTCCTATTTTTCCATTACCATTTTTTTCCTATTTTGCCATTACTCGGTTTTTTCTTTTTTAGAAATTTTTTTTTTCATTTATTTTAATATAATACAATTAATTTTGAATTTTTATCCGATTTTATAGAAGAAGTTCTAAAATTACACTTTAAAAAAGAGCAACAAAAAAAACTAAAAACAATGAAATAAAAAAAAGAGTGACCTAAGATTTATTACCTTAAAACATTTAGAAAAATATAGGAAAAAATACATATATTTACGTTTATGCATGAAATATTGGGTGAAATGTCCCCTCCCAGTCATTACAACAAAATGTAAGGACCTCTGTGGTCTTCTTGAAAATAGAGGAACCTGAGAGTTATTTCGACAAAACCTGCGCCACCTGTGAGTAATTTTCTGGGACTTTTAACATGGTCTTTTTTTTCAAGATATGTAGCAACCAAACCCATTCTTTTTGTTTAGCATAAGATCACTAACCTAAATATAAAATTAATAAAATTCATTCAGAGAAGTAGGTGCATAATTAATTATTTCATAAAAATGGATGAATCTAACACCGCTTGTGATTAGAGTTGGCATTTTGGATAGTTTTTTTAATGACACAGATTAGTCTTTAAAACACTGACACTAAAAGTTACCGTTGGATATCATTTTCAAAATTCTAAAACTAATGTCAAATGGGATCATAGACAATGATGAAGATGAAGATTATAATAAGTTAACAACTAACATTGAATGGGATTATTTATTTGAAGATTTCACTAGTGTGCTGATAAATACAGATCTGAACTAACCTTTAATTGTTGCCATCCTTGATTGAATTCCATAGAGCAACTCATCCAAACAGGGCAGATGACATCTGCATAGAGATGAAATACTCAACCACAACCATTATACTATTTTCCTACTTTAGCTTCTTTTTTTTTTCTTATTCCACTAGTGGTTCAGTTTATCCTTCTTCATCATAGTCTTCTTCCCCGGCTTCCTGATTCCGATCCATCAGATCACGGGCAAGTCCGAAAGGATCAATGGACATACCTTCCACGTTCGACCATCCGGGGTAATCCTCCCGCTGCTTAACGGGCACTCCTGAAGAATCGTCCGTCTCATTTGGACCCACATTAAGATCAAAATTTCTCACGGTCGGTTCTATGTGCGGGCCAACGGGTTCGGAGTTTGGATCCGCGGGTTCCGAACCCGGGTCCGGCCTTTCCCGGTTCTTGAGTGATTCATCTTCATTTTTTTCATCATCAAATAAAACACTGGTAGTTTGTTCTCTCTCTGCTGCCCGGCCTTTTCCACGACCTCTACCCCTACCCCTACCTCTCCCCCGCCCACTACTGCCACTTGGAGGTGTTGTTTAGTGCTGCAACCAAAGAAGCAACCACAACTTTAAAAAACAATGGATTCTAGTGTCATATTATGACACCGGCCATTTGAGGCCCATACCGTGCTCGGTTGGAGCCCGAAGTTGTCTCCCCACCCCCAAAACCCCAATTCACCAATTTGCTACCATTTTTGGGGGGCATGGGGTTTTGGGGTGATTAGGAGGTAGGAACAACTTCTACATCCAACATAGCACTATAGGGGCTTGGTGTCATGATATGACACCCTACACCGGTGTCAAGGTCTGCTTTCAGGGGGGGGGGGATTGGGTTGGGTGTCATCATCACTGTCATGATCCCCAGATTCAGCAATCTTCCTGCATAAGAAACAAAAATTCACAATAAGCAAAACTGTGTCCATAAAGTTATAAGCTCTCCTACTGAATGGAGCAGCCTTGTCATACCCAGCTGAGCTTTTATTTTTGCTCTCCTGCCGGAGTATGGCAAAACAGTGTGGGCACGTGACTCGACTCGCCGGATATGATAAGATTATCAAGAAAAAACAAGAATCTGACCTTTTACTGGTAGATCTATCATAAACTGCAGTATCAGAACCACCTAAATCAGGAACCCTGCTGACTATATCCTTCAGGAAATCAAACACATTAAAAGTTTGTACACATTGTTTCCTGAAATGTGAAGTATTGAGTTAGATTAATTTTAAAAAAAAAAAGTTCTTAGAAAGAGATGATATACAAGAAACACATATCATAAAATATGTAGGATACTTACAAATGTAATGAATTCAAAGTTTTTGCTCCCCTCTTAAGCGTAATAGCATATGTCCGATCACACAGATCTTGCAGAAAGAGCTCCAAAGCCTTTGCTGCAAAACATATGAACTGTTGTGTCAAGACCAAATATGCATCACAGATTGAGTTATAAAAATCTATTTTGATTATTAGCATGCACAATTGATGGAATTACAGGAAGAAAAGTAGTATTTTTCTTGAATTCTTTAAACAATATATTACTCTGTATGATATTCTAATTTTATACTCTCTTATTATGCCTTGTAGATGAATACACTAATACAGAGTACTTTATAAATGCCTTAGAGGAAAAACAATGCCTTATGAAAAGGACCATAACCCTTTGATAATGCTCCAGTTGCGCCTTTAAAAAAAACCCGGAGTATTTATAGAAAATGAGAACAAAAACCATTTTAGTTTATGTACTTAGAGAAACATACACATTAAGAGGGGTACAGCATTAGCAATCTTTCCCACATCTTCATCCGCTTGCATAATCTTCTTAATCCGAGCCTACAAGAATAGATCATCCAATATCAGGTCACTGGACTGGAAATTTCATAACTCAAACATACCGTGAAACTATAAAGTTTAAACAAAAAAAACATTTTAACAAATTAAAAAGGAGGGATATGTCATTTTGGTCCTACAAGTGATTCTGTTTAGCCATTAGATCCTCACCATCATAGGCGAGCAAATGTCACCCTTGACTATTCCAAGTTGTTGCAATAGTGAATGATTGAGAGTTGAATATAAGGGAATTGTAAGTTGAATGATAGTGTGTGATCCGCAAATTATACCGTACATCCTGCTGTACGGCAAGAACGGTAAAGCCGGCAACTAATTAGGGCAAACGCCAAATTGGGACCTGCTGCAAGAACGGCCGACCATGAAGGAGAAGGTGGCTGCGCGATCAATCGGGGATTACGAGGCTGCGCGATGAAGTTCCAATCGGCGATTCACCATGAAGATAGATGGAGGTTGTTTGGAAGTCCGATCGGCAATTGAAGGATGAAGGACTGATCAGCGACAACTGCTTTGCTTCGATATGCGATATCGGGATTCCAGTTGCTCTAGATCTTTTCTTTCCCGATTCAGTTGCTCCTGATCTTTTCTTCATATATTATATATGAATGGGAGTTTGATTAAGATTGAGTACTAGGTTATATGAGGATGAGTACTATTGTATTTTAGAATGAATGTTATGTTATTCGTAAATGAATATTGAATAAATTTATGAAAATGAATACGACATTATTTTTGAATGAGTATTGCGTTATTTCAGAATGATTACCACGTTTTTCAAATTAACCATTATGCTTGTGCGAGAATGAGTACTATATTACTTCGGGATGAGTAGTATATGGATGTACTTATCTCTAGGTACATCCGGATATACCATATACTAACTCTTTGTGATCGATTTTAAGTTTCATTGGAGAAGAGAGTGTGAGATAGGTTGATTTATGATTATAAATCAATCCCAAAAGTAACCCAATTTTCCTTTAGAAGAAAAAATCCAAAAAAAGAGAGTAAATAACTACTCCCTACGTCTCCAAAAAAAAGACTCCTAGTTACTATTCATATGTCAAACAATCTCCAATTTCTTTAAACATTTTCATCGACCATTTGATAAAATAAAATAACCTTCTCACCACTTGTTTTGTAGAACTTTTGATATAGTTTTTTTAAAAATAATTTTTTTTTTATTTTACATTCTACACCAATTTTTGTCTATATTGAATTGAAAATAATTTCAACCAAACATCGTAAACAGAACATGAGCCTTAGTTTGGGATGGAGGAAGTATGGAAAAACCATAGTTTTATGAATATTTCAAATGTAGAATTTTATTAAAATAATTTGATTACATATTGGAAAAAGAATTTCAAATGAATTATAGTGGAATATGATTGAATTATATGAGTTGAATTTGAAAAAAGTGATCGATGAAATGGCACTTTGTTCAATTAAAAACAAGAGAGAGACGTGAATATGAATTGAATTGTTACCTATGTTGGAATTTTTGGCATTTTTAATAGGCATTAAATGGATCAATTTGGGTATATTTGTCAATAGGTCCACTAACGGTTTTAACCGTTAATTAATGGACGTGTGTTCTCTTAAATGAGATAAATGTTTTGACAATTTATACGCCAAAAATGGTAGAGGGTGAATGAGAAATTGATTCTCAGAGTTAACCCGTTAATAAAAGAATATGGTGAGGATTGCAATTTTTGCAATTTTACTGAACCAATCTTCGTTTATTAATTTTACGTATTGTTTAAAATTAGTCCATTTTTATGGAGTTAACTGGTCATTAATCTCCAATTATTCTGGACATATTTTAGACGGAGCGTAGCGTAACGGACGTGTTAATGGCTAATTAATCACCATTAACACACCACAAATGCCATGATTAATTCCATGGGTTAATGGTGTAGGAGTTACATTTTTTAAACTCCTTTGTTATAAAAATCAAAGCTCTCTCCATCATTTTTTATGTGCCTTGCGTGAGGTAGAGAGAAAGAAAAGAGAAAACACTTTATTATTTTCTTTTAGAGAGAGCTCTTGATTTTCCGGCCAATTTTTCCGGTCATCCCCTTTAAAGTTTTTGGTCGTCAACGTTCCTACGTTGTTCTTGTTCGTTGGTGTGTGGTTGGTCCGTACAATCTCCACACACGATAGCGGTTTTATCCTGAGAGGAGAGTGCCCACGTTTTCCGGTACGGTAGGCGGGCACTACTACCTTAAGGACAGCTCCAGCGACTCCGCTGTCCTTCCACGGTGTTGTGATTTTGCAGGTTCAGTTCATAAAGACCTCGTTGCATTCTGACCTAGTGCATAATGTCCTCGCAGCCCTGTGCATAACGTCCTTGAATCGCTGTCTAGTGCTTAAAGACCTCTAGGAATGGCAATTCAACCCGAACCCGAGCTTAATCGACCCGATCGACCACTAAAATATCCGAACCCGAACCGAGAATAAAATAATCCGAACCCGACCCGAATTTTTTTACCCGAACCCGACATCGGGTCGGGTCGGGTGTGGATTTATAATTTTACCCGACCTGACCCGAACCCGCACCCGACCCGACTAAAACCCAAATATTTTATTACATAAAAGCCTATCTATGGATATAATGAGCACTCCGTATAATTTCTTGACAAAGTGCTACTATATCAAGTGTGCCTTTTATAATCATTTTTATAATTCCTTAATAAAAATGAGACATAAAAAAGAGACACAAAAAAAATTAGATTTAATCATTTCAAAATTATTGGGATACGTCGAATTGATTATTGGTTAAAAGTCGGGTTCGGGTCGGGTCGGGTTTTTTGGCTTAAAAGGTCGGGTTTCGGGTCGGGTTCGGGTTTTGGTTTTAAAAGTTGGGTCGGGTTCGGGTATAGTACTATCCGACCCGAACCCGACCCGAACCCGACCCGTTGCCATCCCTAGAGACCTCGCTATCCAGCCTTGCTGTCCAGTGCTTAACGTCCTCGCTGTCCAGTCCTTAATGTCCTCGTACAACAAGGCCGTTTGAAGATATAGAAATTTATTTTCAACTTTGTTCATTTTGTAACATTCTGAATAAATTTTAAATTCAGAATTTTATTTTTTTTTTTGTTTCCAGGGCTGTTCATCTTCCCCGTCCGTTGTAATCCATACGAGAATTGTAACAACCTATACTCTTAATTTTGTGATAAAATGGCAACTCATTTCTATAAATGTAAGTTTTAAAGTCAATCCTGCTTATTCAATTTTCAAACTAGCCACTACCAATCTACCATCTAGCTGCTATAGGTCCTAACTTCCAATCAATGCCAATAACATTCTAGTTATCTATCTTTTTAAATACACAGGTTCGAACTTCACTGGCAGCTGGAAAAATCTTGTGTCCTAAGACCAGAACCCAAGAAGATCAGAAGTAAGATTCACTAGACAAATTCTACTTCACAGATGGATACGAAGTAGAAAGGTACAAAGCATGTGCCAAGTATCATACTCATGCCATTTAACTAGTCTATGTTAAGTCATTGTTGGTTTGAACACGTTTTAACAACTTGAAATTAATATGTAGTTGTTGGGGAGGCCACACAATAAAAGCAAGTACATCAACAATATTGCAGGTTTTACTAAAGTGCTCGCTCCTTATGACACCGGTTATAGGCAGAGGTCACCCTTTCCATTGCATTCTAACAAAATGAGATCAAATAAATCAAATAAGCCCCTCACCCCATCCGGCCATTTTCTCATCTCACGTCTCACCTCTCTCCCAAACCCAACCCCTTTCGGCAACATCATTCCCCATCTCCCTGCTCCCTTGACCCCCCTTCAACGATCCCCTCTCACGTCTCCTGTCTCCCCAACCTCTTTGGTAACCCTTCACTTGGTGCTCC